CTGAGGGACTCCTCCAGAGACGGTCCTGCAGCCCTGAGGGACTCCTCGAGAGCAGCAGCACCTGACTCTTCCCTGTCCATCACTGCCTCATATTCTGTGTTGTGATTGAACCGGAAGTGTTTGACAGTTGTTGTGTTGCTGCAGCTCCGTACAAACAACAAACTGCTTCTTGTGGAGATGAAACATCTTCACACACGACTCCACCGCTGTGTCTACAGACGGACACCGACGAGCAGCGTGCCGCTCCACTTACACGCACTTACTCAGGCGGAAGAAAAAGTAGTTCCCACTGAACGCGTTTCTTTAAACAAGATCTCACTAGTTTAGTTACTTTCCACCATCTTCCTGTTACTGAAGCGTTACCTGGAACAACTGACGGATCAAAAGAATCGAGTTTCATTTAAGGATCGATTCCAGAGCACGTACTTCTGGTATGGATCACTATCCCCCACCATTATACAAGCGGGGCGCCTACTGGAACTGTGCACCCACCCACTGGTGTAACGCTAAGCTACAATACAGGCACACTAGCTAAGAAGCTACTCACACTGAACCCACCCCCACGTGCACTCAAACTGCCTGAACCCACCCCCACGTGCACTCAAACTGCCCGTACAAACGTGCAGCCCAGCCCCCCCCCCCCACCAATAGACAACAATCACGGACGAGAGCAGCACCCCACCATGGCAAGTTATCTGGGGGGAAGGCTGATAAGATCTAAGACGTATGCTAAACACGAATAATGTAAAATAATACGGTGATTAAACAGCAGCCTGAACACGAGTCTGGTGAGCAGGCGGGTGTGAATACAGCAGCATAAAGATCAGCAGCACGAGATAAGCAGCAGCACAGAGAAGTCACATATCACCAATTAAAGTGGCATTACAGTGAGTATTCTTTTGTCTTTCACACGACCTTGATAAGAATTGTGGGTAAAATTTACAGGTATGTAATTTTTAAATCATTGAGATTATGTATCATTTTAAATCATTTATGTGAAATTTTAAATCATTGATGTATAATTTTACATCATTTACGTATCATTTTAAATCATTTACGTATCATTTTAAATCATTTACGTATCATTTTAAATCATTTACGTATCATTTTA